AAAAAAACAGCCTAATCCTACAGATCAATCTGTATGTAGGCAAAGTCCAGGTCTTCCCTTCACTGTAAGGAAACTTGGGAGCAGTAACTTACCAGAATTGTTCGGAGTGAGGATTCTTGTGTGGCCTGCATCCCCACTGAGGAATGGTCTAAAAGAGGAAATCCCTTGTCCAAAGGAGGCAGATGAAGGTCTAAGGAAGGGAAATAAAAGCATCAGCAAAGCCAGATGTGCAACAGCATGTCTGTAATCCCAATACTTAGAAGGCAAATGCAGGAGGATCACAGGAAGTTCAAGTCCAGCCTGATCTACATAGCAAGTTTCAGGCTAGCCAGGGCTCTAGAGCAAGACACTGTCTCAAACCAACTGGGGCTGGAGAGATGGCTCAGTGGTTAAGAACAATTGCTATTCCAGAAGACTTGGGTTCAATTCCCAGCACCCACATAGCAGATAACAAGGGTAACTCCAGTTCCAGGGGATCGGACACCCTCTTCTGGCCTTTGCTGGTATTACATGATGGGTGCACTTATATACATATAGGCAAAACACTCATACACATAAAATATTTTTAAAAAGAAATTTTAGAGCTGGGCGTGGTGGCTCAAGCCTTTTTTCCAGCACTTGGGAGGCAGAGGCAGGCGGATCTTTGTGAGTTCAAGGCCAGCCTGGTCTACGTAGTGAGCTCCAGGGGCTACAAGGAGACCCTGTCTCAAAAAGACAAAAAAAAAAACAAAAAAAAAACCAACAAAAAAAAAAACCAACAAGGAAAAAGTATCAGAGTAAAGGAAAGATAAAGGTAAAAAGCATAGGAAAGGGTAAGCCTATACACTCAGGGAAGAGAAAAATCACTGCCCTGCAACAGAAAATAATTAAAGACAGATACTACACACAGTGCTACCCTCTCTCCTGAACTGCAGATGATGAACTCTAGTGGTATAGGCCATTGGACATGTAACCCTAGGACTGCTGGCAGTGTCAGTGCGAACAGATTCCTAGAAAGGAAACAATAGGCACGGTGGTGCTCATCTGTAATCCTTGTACTTGGGAGGCAAAGAGTGGAGGATCAGGAGTTCAAGGACAGCTCTCGCTACATAGAAAATCTGAAATAAGCCAGAGCTACATGAGACCCTATCTCAGAAACAAAACAAAAACAAAAGAAAGTGTAATGTTACCTGTGAAACAAGGTGTGAGTTGAAGCTGGTGAAGGGGTTTCTGGAAAGCATAAATATGAGCCAGTGAGATAATTCAAGAACTGCAGGAGATTCAGGAGCCAGGGTGAAGGAAATGGAGATCAAAGATTTTACAATTTTAGGATTAGAGGCTAGTGTTAAGTGAAAAGGCTCACAAATCACCTAGCAGTGTCTCTTAGGGTACATTCTTCTCCCTTTCTTGACTCTGGGATTCAGAACCTATTACTGCCTTGTGCTTAATGTGTCTGGGCTTTGGCATCCCCTCTAAGACAGTTATGAAAGTATTGCTGAATATAGAGCCATCAAATTGTATACCTGTGATATCAGTAAAAATGATAGCGCTCCAAAAATTATCTCCTTCATAAAAGGCAAAGTGAAAACTGGCAAAATGGTTAGAATACTTTGTTAGAACCCTTGAAATTATCAAGATCTTATAGCAATCTGGAAAATTGTTCATTAAAATAAAAAAACAGTGGGGCTGGAGAGATGGCTCAATGGTTAAGAATACTGGCTGTTCTTGCAGAAGCCCCAAGTTTGAATCCCAGCACCCACATGGCCGCTAACAACGGTCCATAACTCCAGTTCCAGGGGATCCGACAGCCTCTTCTGCCCTCCACGGGCATTGCAGAGGCACAGGTGCACTTACCTACATGCAGGCAATACTCGCATACACATAAAATAAAAATAATAAAATATTAAAAAAACAGTGAATGTCAGTAAAAACAACAAGCATTATTGCATTTGTTTGGTTGTTTGAGACAGGGTCTCCTTATAGCCCAGCTAGCCTGGAATCACTATTCAGACCAGGCTGGCCTTGATCTCACAGAGATCCACCTGCGTCTGGGATCAAAGGCATGGGCCACCAGCCCAGGCCCCATTGTTGCATTTTAACTTAACCTGTTCTCAGTTCTCCTTTTCCAGATCCATGGTAGCTCTGAAAATCAACAGGCCTTAATCACAGTGAAAAACACCATGTCAGTCACTAGAGGGAAGAAATGGGATTGGAGCTCTTTTAAAGTGGCATTCTTTGTGTATGTGAATACGTTTGTATAGATGTGTACTCATGTAGGTAGAAGGCTTGCTGCTCAAGCCTAATGACTTGAGTTTAATCCCCAGAACCTACATAAAAGTGGAAGGAGAGAACTGACTACACAAACTTTTCCCTCTGACCTCTATATGTGTCCTATGGTATGTGTGTGTGTGCATACTAAGAGTAATAATTTTTTTTAAGGGAAAGCTGGCACATGCCTTAAATCCCAGCACTTGGGCAGTAGAAATAGTCAGATTTTTATGGGTTTGAGGCCAGTCTGGTCTATATAATGAAACCCTGCCTCAAAAAACAATTTTAAAAAATTTTTAAAAAGGGAAAACTCAAGACTAGAGAGATGGCTTAGTAGTTAAGTACACTTGGATGCTCTTGCAGAGGACTCAGGTTCTATTCCCAGCACCCCCATGGCGGCTAACAACCATATGTAACTCCAGTTCCAGAGGAATCCAATACCCTCTTCTGACCTCTTTCAGGCACTGCACAACATGGGTGCACTTACACAAATGCAGGCAATACACTCATACACATAAAATAAATACATATTTTTGATTTAAAAAGTCTTTAAAAGGGAAAACATGGCAATAAATTGCCATCATTAATAAAAAGGGGGGAGGGGACTGGAGAGATGGTTAGTGATTTAAGTACACTGGTGGTTCTTCTAGAGAATTTAGGTTCCCAGCACCCACATGGCAGCTAACAACCAACTGAAAGTTCAGTTTCAGAGTATCTGATGCTATCTTCTGGCCTCTGCAGGCATTGTATAACATGGGTATACTTACATATGTGGAGACAAAACATTTATTAAATTAAAAAAATTTTTTTTAACTGACAGTTGGGCCAGGCATGGTGGTACATGCCTTTAATCCCGGCACTCAGAAGGCAGAAGCAGGTGGATCTCTGTGAATTCAAGGCCAGCCTAGTCTACATCACCACTTCCAGGCCAGACCCTCCCTGTCTCAAAAGTGTTAACTTTCCTTTTAGACTTAACTTCTACTGCCATCTTGTGGCAATTTTGAGAACTGATCAGAGAGAGTGTGTGTGCATGTGTGTGTGTGTGCGTGTGTGTGTGCATGTGTCACTCGAACTCACAAGAGATCCACCTGTTTCTGCCTCCCAAGTGCTGAGATTAAAGGTACACGCCACTGCACCCAGCCCGTGTGTGTGTGTGTGTGTGTGTGTTTGTGTGTGTGTTTGTGTGTGTGTGGACAACTTTGTAGTCGGTCCTCTCCTTCCACCTTTAAATGGATTTTAGGGATCAAACTCAGGTCATGAGGTTGGCATAGCAATCGCTTTTACCTGCTGAGTCAGCTTCAGTGGCTATCACTCAAATTTTTATTTTTCTGTTATCTGTTTCAGAGCAAATATATCATTAGTTGAAATTTTGTAGGGGCTGGAGAGATGGTTCAGTGGTTAAGACAACTTAACTACTCTTGCAGAGGACCTGGGTTTGATTCCCAGCACCCACATGGCAGCTACGAACCGTCCTTAACTACAGTTCCAGAGGAATCCGAAGCCCTCTTCTGACCTCCATGGCATTGCACGACACGGGTGCACTCACATACATGCAGGCAATACACTCATACACATAAAATAAAATTAATAAATAAAAAGCAGAGGCAGGCGGATTTCTGAGTTCAAGGCCAGCCTGGTCTACATAGTTCCAGGACAGCTGGGGCTACAGGGAGACCCTGTCTCAAAAAGACCAAAAAAAAATTTTTTTTTAAATTAAAAAACTTGTAATCCATGTTTGGATACCTGGATTCACTTTCTGGAAAAAATAGCATATTATGCATAGAAAATTGCAGTGAATATTCTCTGGACAGAGTATGCTGACACTGGACACTTTTCTTCCTATCCTCTCTTACCAGTGTAAGAGTCTCTGGGAGTGCTCCTTCCTTGCAGGCCTCTGCTTCCCTGATAGAAAAATCATGACATTAATTAATGTACCCTGGTTCTCTACACTACCGATTCCCTGCAAGCTCTCTATCACCACCCATTCACAAACATATTATTCTCCCAGACTAAGCATCCTAGGCTAGAAGGACCCACGCTATACTACCAAAATGAACATGGTGGACACTAATTCAAGTCTCGAACACTTCCACTTTAACACTGGGTCTCTAAAACAGGGTTTGCATAGCATGAAAAAATTTATACCAAAACCAATAGAAATGTAAGATTCTTGACTTAAAATGTTGCTTCCCTTAAGCATTAGAAACCTCAGGCTACAAAAGTGAGGTGACTGTTACTTACTTGCTCCACATAACGAAAGTCAGCCACTCTGTAAGGGGTAGACTCCATGGAAGAGGAGCGGCTACATAAAGTAACACAAAACCAAACACAAAAAACTGGTGTTAAACTTTGATGTGAACTGAATTTTCCTCAGTCCCACTTTCAGCCACATCTAGAAATTTCATGCATCTTCCAATTTTTTTGCCAACATTTTTAATGTTGATGGACAGATAGGCTTTCTACTAACCTGACCACTTGGCTGCTTTGCTGGGAACTGGGTCGTGTAACAACTGAAAGAGAATAAAGTATAGGATGTGAAGTTGCCATCAGTGGATGCTGCTTTGCCCAGCTTGGGTGGTTATCTGGCTCTATGATGTTTTACATGCCATATGTAAGATTAGCAAAATCACATTATGTTCTCTGGGAAAAAAAACAGCTTCTATATGAGGAAAAGATATTTGTTCATCTCACACAGATAGCTAGGAAAAATTATTTCTTCACCTGACTGTGATGGAGAAGTAATGCCCACTGGACGAGGTGTGGTCAACCTATAAGAAAACAGAGAAAAGGCAGCTCTACTCTCATGAAGCAGAAGTAAACTGGTGCTTTAGAGAATCAGTCAGATCACAATTATAGAAACTATAGCTTCTGGGGCTGGAGAGATGACTCAGTAGTTAAGAATTTTTTAAGGAAAAAAAAAAGCAACAGTAGCTTCTTCTCTAAGCACAGATTACTTTCATGTGTTAAAGGCATCACCTCCACATATGGAGGATAAATTTTTATAGGAGCTCCCTACACTCAACTCTCTAAGTGAGACTTCTTCCACTTCTCTCTTCTACATAATAGATGTTTTGGAGTCCTTCCTTCTGTTCCTCCCTTTGTTCCTCCCTCCCTCCCTCCCTCCCTCCATCCAACAAGAATTTAGTGTCTCTATATCCTATAAGCTGGGCGTGGTGGCACACGTTTTTAATCCCAGCACTTGGGAGGCAGAGGCAGGTGGATCTCTGTGAGTTTGAGGCCAGCCTGGTCTACATAGTGAGTTCCAGGCCAGCTGGGGCTACAGGAAACCCTGTCTCAAAAAGACGCAAAAAACAAAACAAAAGAAAAAACCAGTTCACTATAGTAAGTTTCCTCTCTGAAGGCTCACAGGCTGTTGAAAGGAGAAATAAGAATCAGACCTGGATGTAATTCAGTGGTAGAATGCTTGCCTAGGAAGGCCCTGAATTTGATCCCCAGCACCATAAAGAAAGCAAAAACCACAATAATATTTATGTATTATAATGGTGTGCTGGATAGCTTTAGTGTCAACTTCATACACCTGGGTTGAGGGAGTCTCAATTGGGGTATTGCCTCTATTGGACTGGCCTGTGGCCATGTCTGAGGGGCATCTTCTTGATGAGTGATGTGGGAGGGATCAGCCTACTGTGGGTGGTGCCACCCCTGGGCACATGTGCCTGTGTTGCATAAGAAAGCAGGCTGAGCAGGGGCCAGGGGAGCAAGCCAGTAAGCAGAGTTCCTCCATGGCCTGTGCTCCAGCTCCTGCTTCCAGGTTCCTGCCCTGAGTTCCTACCTTGGGCTCCCTGATGAACTACGATCTGGGAGATGTAAGTTGAATAAACCCTTTCCTCCCCAAGGTGGTAGTGGTCAGAGTGTTTGTCACAGCAATGAAGAAACAAACTAAGACAAATGGCTATTTAAAAATACCGAAATTTGAAAGAACACTAGGCAGTAATGTGTAAGTGCTAGAGTGCCATGTCTTTTTAATGCATCCATCAATGCACAGCTTCTACTAAAAATACTTAGCAGCTGGTAGGACACAGACATCACCAATCAGAAAGGACATGGTATTGTACCCAGCACCTAAGTAGTATCTGATAAACAGTAGGGACTGAATGTTCGCTGAATGAATGAGTAGCTAACTCCACTTAATGCAGTTTTTATAGAGGAAAAGGTATATGTTGAATTTTTGAAGGATAAGTAGGAATTCACAAGACAACTGTGAAAGGTGAGCCCTATCAAGATTTCATTCAGAGCTGGGCACGGTGGCACAGGCCTTTAAGGCCAGCTACTAAGGAGGCTGAGCCAAGGTCACAAGTTCAAAGCCAGCTTGAGTAACTTAGTGAGACTGTCTCAAAATGATCCATAAAAAGAGGGATTTAGCTAGGCATGGTGGCCCATGCCTTTAATCCCAGCATTTGAGAGCAGAGGTAGGACCTCTCAATTTGAGACCAGCCTGGTCTACATAGTGAGTTCCAGGCTAGCAAGAGCTATGAGACTGTCTCAAAGAGCCAAAAGAGGGGAGGCATAGCTCAGTAGTAAAATTTGTGAGAATCTAGCCCTTCGTACTACCAAAAAAAAAAAAAAAATTCCTTTCTGACTCAGAGAATCAGAAAGGTGAAAGATAAATTCATGAAGCATTTTCTCCATCTTGGAGCCACACAACCAGAAGTCAAGAAGGACTAGCTGAAAACTCCCCCACACAAGGACATGGTAAAGCTTAAGAAGAAAGGTCTGGAGAGACAGCTCAGTGGTTAAGAACACTGGCTGCTCTTGCAGAGGACCTGGGTTCAGTTCTTAGCACCCATATGGCAGCTAACAACTCCCCTAATTCTAGTTCCAGGGAATCTAATGTCCTCTTCTGACCTCCTCAGGTATTGCATGCTCAGGTAAGCATGGGTACGCTTACATACAGGCAGACAATACACTCATACACATAAGATAAAAATTATATATATATATATAATCTTTTGAGATAGGGTCTTCCTGTAGCCCCAGCTGGCCTGGAACTCACACCATGCCTGGCTAATAAATAAATTTTTTTTTAAAAAAAGAAAGGCTGGGTGTGGTGGTGGTACATGCCTTTAATCCAAGCACTCGGGAGGCAGAAGCAGGCAGATCTCTATGAGTTCAAGGCCAGCCTGGTCTACATAGGAAGTTCCAGGCCAGCTGGGGCTACAAGGAGACCTTGTCTCAAAAATAAAAAAAATAAAAAATAAAAAAAGAAGAAAGAAATGCGAATTATCCCGAAGTGTTCATTACACATTGTATGTATGTATGACATCATCATACTACAATTCATAAATATATACAGTTGTTATGTGCCAACTGCACATTTCTTGAAGAATAAAACAGAAAACTTCAAGGTAGAGAGGTAGTGTGGGTGCTGAAAAAACTGACCTGCTTCCATGGCTCCAACCTGGAGATTCCTGTAGGTGAAAAAAAATGGGAATGAAGGAAGCTACAGATTAAAGGTGCTGTGGCTCTTCTAAAGGATCAATGGATCTCAGTCTTATTTGATAGATAATTCACCTGCAAAGTCTCCTAGATGCTAAGATTCCCAGCAGAGAAAAAAATGCAGCAGTATTTCCTTAGGAAATCATTACCTTTGAGGGAATGAAAATTTCATTTCTTCTCATAGGAGCAAACTGAGCAGCAAGGCACGGTGCCACATCCCTGTAAACCTAGCACTCAGGAGGTGGAGACTGGAGATTCAGGAGTTTCAGGCTAGCCTTGGGTACATAAAGAATTCAAGGCCACCTGGGTGTGGTCGCCCATGCCTTCAGACCCAGCACTAGGGAGGCAGAGGCTAGCAGATCTCTGTCAGATCAAGACCAGCCAGTCTACATAGCAAGTTCTAGCCCACCAGCTGGGGCTACAGGGAGACCCTGTCTCAAAAAGCCCCCCGCCCCAACTCAAGGTCAGGGTCAGTAAGATGGCTTAGCAGATAAAAAGGCTTATGTGTAAGCCTGACCTGCATTCCAGCCCAATGTTGAATATTAAAAAAAGTATTTCTCAGCCATTTGTCTTTCTTTCTATGTGTATGCATGTATTGCCTGTGTGAAGTGCACCTGTGTCATGCAATGCCTGAGGAGGACAGAAGATGCTGTCAGATCCCCTGGAACTGGAGTTAGGGACAGCTGTTAATGCCATGTGGGTGCTGGGATTCAAACTCTGGTCTTCTGCAAGAACAATCAGTGTTCTTAACTGCTGAGCCATCTCTCCAGCCCCTTGTCTTTCATTTTTT